ACCAAGTCGGCATAGTTTGGAAATTCATCAYGCACRGAAGAATTAATTATTAAAAGTAAGTTTGACAACTTAGCTGATGAAAGGTTAACCCTAACCCTAAACTGCAATAGGATGTTAAATGAAATGCAACTACAAGTACTGATMCTGGAGCCAAACCTGAATTTTTATTTTTATTTTTTAAGTGTAACGTTTTAACTGTGAAGTTATTCTTCCAATGAAAACACGTGTGAATACATGACCCAATGTATTTAAGTCTGATATGAAACCAATCACAATAGAAACGGGGTAGAATGTGGTCATGTAAACTTACATCAAGCAAAGGCTAGCTAGACCATCTTATTTCACAGCAGTTTTATGCAGCCAGCCCGGACCAGGAAGAAAATGGTCTATGTGGCCCAGCTGGGCTGCGTGAATGAAGCCTTTCCATTTGAGTTTAGGGAGAGTGTCATGTGGCCTGTACTCCTTCGTTCTGCCAGGGCAGGTCTTCATCCTCTTGTCTTGTTCCTCACCTTAGAATGGGAGAAATCATATCGATTACCAACAAAATAGATGCAATCACACTTGTCTGGGAGGATTCCTAGGAGCTGCCTCGTGTACTTTCCTTACAGTTCATGAAAGGTGCTGCTCCCAAGATGCTGGTAACATTGAATGAACGCCATGGCATCTACTACCATTACAACATCGCTTCTGTCAGTGCGCCCCAGGTCAGCTGTGGCTACAACGTAGCTTACCATCATCAGTGTGTGAATGGGTGAATGTCTGTAGTGTAAAGCACTTAGGGTCTGGAGGGACTTAAAAGCGCTATATAAGTTCAGTCCRTTTACCATTTACAACAGGTTTRTTGGACAGCAGTAGTTTGTCCATTTCCCCCCATGATCTGCCAATGGCTGTCTTGACTGCATAACTTTGGTCAAGGGACAAATCTAGCTTAAACAGGGAGGCCTGGCATCTTGTCCATTCATGGCCARGTTGGCCACATCCACCTTCCTGTCTTCCTCCAAGTCCTGAGCAAAGTACAGGCTCCACACAGCTGCACTCTCCTCCTCATAGGTCTTTTTGCCTTTGAATGTCATTTACATTGATGGCTTTGGCTTTGCTGTGAAGGTTGAAAGTTTAATTTGGTTTATGTTCTCACTGTTTGTCCAGTCATTTTGCAAGAGCACAGATCAAGGCAGCAGATGTGACCTGTTGAAATGTTGATCAACTCCTGTTCTTCACATGTAAAAGGATCGATCATCTGGTTGTTGATGACATCTGTTATTTTCTTTACACCTTCTTCCTCTTTTGCACCTTGGCTGTCCTTGTGGTGTTTGGTGTCATCCACATTCAGGTGAGCCACATCCTTTGTCTACTCTGGTACAGCTGTCAGAACTGGAAGCGCTTTTAAGTATTTCTCAATAGTTGTAAAATGTTAAAATGTATAGTATTAAATACACTGGCATTTAAATTAAATCATAAAAAATCTACATTCTGAAAAAGTGTCCCACTTTACCCATATTTCCCCTACCCACCGGCCATAGAGTGCACTTGCCCAGTGGGCTGGCAGTGATTTTGAGCCAGGCCGTTTTTTTTTCTTTCTTTCTCTCTCTTCAAGTTATGATGCTAATCGGTGGCTACACACAACTGGTAGATTGGCCCATTAGTCATCAATGACTGATTCTGGGATGGACAAATTACAGCAGCCAAGGGCTGATGCCCCCTCCCTCATGGGCCGCGGCTGTCAATCCATCACAGACTGGGAGGAGAATGGAAATTTTGATTCTGATAAATGRTAAATGGTACTGAACTTATAGAGCGCTTTTCAAGTCCCTCCGGACCCCCAAAGCGCTTTACACTAACAGACATTCACCCATTCACACTCACATTCACACACTGATGATGGCAAACTACACTGTAGCCACAGCTGCCCTGGGGCACACTGACAGAAGCGAGGCTGCCATGCATCGGCGCCACCGGACCCTCGGACCACCATCAGTAGGCAAGGTGGATGAAGTGTCTTGCTCAAGGACACAACAACTGAGACGGCTGGATGGGGGATCGAACCAGCGACCTTACCTAACCACTCCGCCACAGCCTGATAAAAAGATAAAAAACGTCCAAACTCCTCGTTCTCATGCCTCAAACAAAAAGGACAAAATCAAACTGCATCACTTAACATGATTAGGCATAAAGGATGGTATACAGACACATTCCTCCCCTTTAAAAAATACAATTCARTTCAATCAAGTTTATTTCTATAATCACTTATTTCTGTAGTGCAAAGTCACCACAAACGTCCTCCCAGGGCACTGTACACAAAACAATAATCAGTCTAATGAATCCATCAGACTGTGATGAATCTCAAACAGAGAAAGGTAAACTCTAAGCACTCACAGGTAAATAAATTCACCTTCCTTCAGTCTAGTATTTCAGCCCAACTTGTTCAACACAGTTTCCCCTCATTGCAGAGCTCCACTGCTTCCAGACTGGGAGGATGTGCTAACACATCTGCTGGAGAWCACAGGTTGATCTTTCTGGGATAATTGGGCCCATCTCGGAGCCGGGTCAGAACCCGGTACGGTCCAGGTTTGTGGCCAGCAGAAGCAGGTTTGATGTTGGACTGACAGCTGACACTGCAGGTTCTCAGTGATCAGGACCTGGCTGATAATGAGACCTGCTGAAGGCTCGTCTTTACTCACCTGTCTGTCTGACACATAGGAGTGTTCTGCTCCTCTGCTCCTCCTTATCCTCTTCATTACACTTTCCCTTTCATTCATTATTATATTTTGTTTTTTCCCAAATCCTAACATGTAAAAATACTAAGATCTGTAATTTCAGAATGTAAAAAAATATTCTTTATCTGCAGAACACGTAGAACACCTAATATAGAAGTTGTAATATCTTTATTTTGAACTTTCCGTAGATTTTGCGGCTCTGAACAAACTTAGAGGACCAAATGATGTCTCTTTTGACTGTAAAGGTTACAGAGCTTTCCTCGATGAAGCAAAATATTCATGATTTGAGTGTAAAATAAATATTACAAACAAAAAAAAAAACCCAATTCGGGAGTTTGATTTACTTTGTAACATTTTAAATAATTATTTTGAAACTCAAGAACAACATCTGTTTCTCCTGATTAATTACCAGCAGGCCAAATATAAACATTAGTTCCACTAGTCCTAAAACACTAACTCAAATATTTAGGTCCCATAATTCTAAAGCACTAATGAAAACTTACGAAGGTTTTGGCAAACGCTAATTCTAAAGCACTAAAGTAACCAGCTTGCAACCTGTCCAGGGTGTACCCCGCCCCTCGCACTGTGACTGCTGGATATGGGCACCAGTGACCCCTGTGACCCTGAAACGAAGAAGCGGGTATAGATAATGAATGGATGGATCAATGGATAAAATAACCCAGTCAACCCATTAACATTCTTCAACAGACAACATGAGTCACATGTTGCCATTTTGCTCTCTTAAGACTTATAAAACTTTATTGATCCCACAGTGGGGAAATTTGAACATTACAGCAGCTCAAAACTGTGGAGCTGCAGTAACAGGCTGCCTGCCGTGRCGCCATCCTGGAAACAGAATATCATTATCATCATCTCTGACATCCCACAGCTGTATTTAAGTTCATRTGTCACCTGGTGGATCAGTGACACACATATGAACACAATGTGTGACAGTTTTCACCCTCAGCTGGTAACAATACTGTTGATCAATAACATTTATAGACCTCAGTTAGTGCTTCYAAATTTAGCCTACAAATTTARCAAGTGTTAATCCACTAATAAATGTTAAAATTAGCAAAAGCACTAATCAGAAAATCAGTTCCCCTATTAGTGCTTTAGTGCTTTAGGGGAACTGTGCCCACCGCTGATTACCAGTGTATGACAGAAAAAATATGTCAAGCTGTCTAATAAGAAATATTAAAAGACTGTAGTGATGATCAGGAATGAAGCAAATCAAATTATGACCTGATGAACATCAAAATCAATCAAATTCAGAAAAACAAACCTGCAGTGAGTGAGGACTCCCTAAAATATTACTTACAAAATTGTTCTTTCTTTCTTTCTTTCTTTCTTTCTTTCTTTCTTTCTTTCTTTCTTTCTTTCTTTCTTTCTTTCTTTCTTTCTTTCTTTC